TCGTTGACCCAAAGTAACCGAAAGCCTTTCTCGCCCACAAGCCAAATCTAACACCCTCTTTCGAAAAGGTTACTTGTACGTTACACGAGGTTTAGAATTTTGGAGCGACAGAGTCGCAAACTTCCGAACCCAACAATGGCAAATCCACCAGAAGAATGGCTCGAAAAAGCTATTTCCGAGGGACATATCAATAATCTTGAATATAATAAATTTACAAATCCTAAAATAATTGGTGTTGGAGGTTTCGGAAAAGTTTTTAAATACGAGTGGAAAGAATGTTATTTGACGGTTGCTCTTAAATGTCTTAAAATTGATACTGATATAGATTTAAATGAAAAGATTATTAAAAATTTTGTCAATGAGGTATTTATTATACTTAAACGTGAATTGCTCTCTGATATACTGTAAAATTGAAAATTTTAACAATAACCTGAAATATAAGCTTAAACTATTACGAAGAGTTGATTACCATCCAAATATTATTAAATTCTATGGGATTACGAAAGGTATACGTACACACAGTTAGTTATTCATAAGCATGCATAAAATAAATATTGAATTTTATAATATTAATTCCAAATAATAGATATTATAATATGGTCTTACAATATGCTAATAATGGAAATTTACGAGAATATCTGAAAGCAAATTTTACAAGATTACAATGGACAGACAAATTACAGATTGCTGAAGAAATAGTGCACGGTCTTTTATTCTTACATCATAACAATATTATTCATAGAGATCTTGTAAGTATATTGTTTTTATATGTTTGTGAGTTTTGATTACAGTAAATAATGTCCTGACACATTTTATAGCATTCGAAGAATATCTTAATTCATCAAAAACAACCGAAGACGCAGATTTTGGATTATCAAAGCAGACAAATGAAATATCTACAAATTCAAGCTTAAATGTTTGTGGAATGCCAGCATATATTGAACCTAAATCCCTTACCAATCATAAATATAAACGTGATAAGAAATCAGACGTGTATAGTTGTGGAGTAATCCTCTGGGAAATTTCAAGCGGAAGACCACCATTTCAAACTTATGAATCAATATATTCACTTACTATTCACATCTTTCAAGGAAATAGAGAAGAGCCGGTAGAAGGTACACCGTCTCAATATATTAAACTTTACAAACAATGTTGGGACAATGATCCTGCTAATCGTCCAGAAACAGAGATGATTCTTAATACTTTAAAGAAACTTATTTCTCATGAAACTATTCACGAAACTATGAATCGACACAATTTCATTGAAGCACATGTTCAAAATAGCGAGACCTTCTCAAGTCATCAAGATAATACAAACTCGACATCATCATCTCCACTTTATTTATCGGATAATGCAAATTCGACATCATCTCCACTTTATTTACCTGATACAATAAACATTTCAACGCAAGACAGTGATAGTCTTGTGGATATGAAGAATGAAGCACATGAATATTTTGAGCAAGGCAAATCAACGCAAGACAGTGATATTCTTGAGAATATGAAAAATGAAGTGCATGAATGTTTTGAGCAAGGTGAATTTCTCAAAGCATTAGAACTTTATGAAGAAATTCTCAAGAACAGTCAGCACAGTACTGAAGATCAAAAAATTGCTTCAACTTGGGATCTTTCTCATAAATGTCGTTCAGAAAAAATAACCAAATTAATAATAGTACTTTACAAGAACACCACACTGATTTCCTTGGATCTTTCTCATAATAATCTTGGATCAAAAGGAGTATGTACATTAGCAAATGCACTGTGCAAGAACAATATCCTGAAGTATTTATATATTGGATATAATGGAATTGGATCAGAAGGAGTGTACGCATTAGCTGATGCACTTTTCAAAAACAATACCTTGAAACTTTTGAATCTTCAAAATAATGAACTTGATTCAGATGAGGGAAAGGCATTAGCGGATGCACTTTGCAAGAATTTCACACTGACTTCTTTAAATCTTAGCTTTAATAATCTTGGACCAGAAGGAGGAAAAGCAATAGTAGATGCACTTTGCAAAAACAATATCCTGGAAGATTTGAATCTTCAAAATAATGATATTGGAGCAGAAGAGAAGATGTTTGAGAAAACTGTATGTTTTCACGAAACACATAAGATTATTTGTGCCGTATTTTTTGGTAAATTTATTTTATAAAGTCATTTCTTTCTCACAAAAACGTTTCAATAGTAAGACTTATTATTATATTTATTCTTGTTTAGATGACCATCGAAAATTAGCCTTTGGAACGGATAATGGTGTATATGTGCTAGATATTGGTCAAGAAAAAAAGCCTGCATTTCAAGCTTGCAAATAAAAAAAGTATCTCAAATAGAAATTCTTGAGGATTATCGATTATTATTTGTATTAGCTGGTAAGGAAAAACATTTATAAAACTCAATTAGTTTCCTTTTCTGATAAAGGCATCATTTATGAATATTTATTTAAATGAAGATAATTTTTTACGACAAAAATCCATATTCATACCCAATTGATGCATTGGAATCTGATAATACTAATGGGGCCAGCAAACGTTCAATAAAAATAAGCGCAAATATCAGGTTCTTTAAGTCCGGAACTTGTTGCGGAAAAACTTTAATAACAGTTGTAAAAACTTTAATAACAGTAGTAAAATATAGTATAATTCAGTCTACTATTAAGATCCTGGAACCTGATGAACAAATTATAAGATCAACTTTTAAACTCGTGCGTGATAGTAGCAATATATTAAAAACATATAAGCGTAAGGTAATATGATGTTTATCTAAAACCTGATTGGTTGTTTTAGAAATCAACTAATCACTCTATTTTGATCTCTGACTGATATACATTAGGAGTTCGGTATGCCTGCAGAAGTAACGTCGGTTCATTATCTAAAAAAGCATTTATGCTTAGGTTTTGCAGAAGGATTTCAAGTAGTGACTTTGGAGACTCTTAAGATTCAAGCTTTACTGCATCCAGAAGATTCTTTTCATGATTTTGTATTTAAAAAAAAAAGTAAAGCCTATCGCTATTTATCGTGTTGGAGGCAATGATTTTCTATTATGTTATAATGGTAATTTTAACTGATTATAATGTTTTAACGTTAATATGTAAATCCTAAATTAAATAGTTCAAAATTTGTCATAATTTACCCTTTTAGAATTTGCCTTCTTTATTACTAAGGAAGGGGCTGGATAAGTTAATAACATGGAAGGGTACTCCAAATTCTTTCGGTGTATATTTGTTTAATTTTGATATTGCATATCATCTTTAAGATTGTTTAGCAGCTTTAACAATTCTGTACGTTTCTTTACCCATTTATTTTATTATTTTTGCAGCTTTCCACTCTCCTTACGTTTTTGCATTTGAACCTTCATTCATTGAAATACGTCATATTGAAACAGGACTTTTGGAACAATTTATTACAGAACATAATATACGCTATCTATGTTCTAATCCTCGTGGAAATATTTTAATATTTTGTTCGCAGCGGACGATACTACGAACTTTGAATATTCTAAATGTTACAAAGGCATTAGTACTGTAGATGCACTTTGCAAAAATTCTACGTTGACTTCTTTGGTTCTTCGAGATAACAATATTAGTTTCAAAGTAGAATCCAATAATTCTTCTAGTCTTAAAATACTACAATAAATTATATACGGAAAAAACATAAAAATGTAATAACTAGTAAAGTAATCTGCGACTAATATATTGTGAGCCCGATTTTTGGGATCACGAGTGCCCGAATCGAGACGACGATCCATACCCGATCCAAGTCACGCGAAAAGTAACGGAAATGTTACTTCTGTTACTTCTCTTACTTCCGTTACTTATGCTATTTCTGTTATTATGAGATAAATGAGATATCGACCTTTTATTAGATTTATTAAATATAATTAAGATATAAGGTATTACATTTATGTTAGAAATTAATTACCAATGCAAATAAAACGTTTATTATAAATAAAGGGCATTTTTGCCTTGGGAAAAATAGATCCCGCCTCACCATTAATATTAAAAAAAAAAAAAATAGATCCCGACTTCCTAACAAACAATTCCCGCATTCCTAACAACAAAATTCCCTAATAACAATAAATACCCGAACCCTAATAAAAGTGAAAGTCTACACTATATAAACTAATAAACCATCGTTAAACCCCGTTGTTACCCCTATCGTTCATTCAAGTAAACCACTAAACTCGCCATTGATCGCTCGCCGCAAGTCATGTGACCGAACTGTTAACGTAATAGAAGAAGTTCCAACCCCGATTCGACGTAGTGTAATCCTGGGTAGGAAGACAAAGAGTTAGTAAAAGAATAAATTGCAGGAAAGACCTAAAGAGAAGAATAGTACTTACATAGCCACCGTAGGTTACGCGAGAGTTGGATTGGTTTAGCGACAGACTCGCCGATTTGCGAATCACAATATACAGTCTATTAAAAATGCAGGCTGCTATCAAAGAAATTTTTTATACTCAAAATGACATAAATGCGCTTTATGTATTAAAACAAAAAACGCACACGTGAACTTTAATATTTTTAGCGTAAGTTTTACTTTATTACGTTCTTTTTTCTCGATCTTCGGAAATTTCTTTAGCGGAAGTAAAAACAGTGATTAAATTACTTTTCATATATCTTTCGTATTATTGAATTTGCCGATGACCCGATAAAGTAAGTTTGATCGTGGCCCAGGCTCCATGATGTAAATAAAAAAATCCTGCCTAAGGATCATTTTATTGAAATTTGATTTACCGAAATGTTTGAAAGAATGTGTTACCGAATCAAAAGTGTTACTGAATGTCAACAATAAACTACATAAAATCATATGAACTATTTTAAAATATTTTCATAAATTAGGGTGTTCTTGAGCGTCTCAATCAATGTGTCAAAGTGTGTTGGAAGTGATCGGGATTAAATTTTAATTAACGGAAAGCAACCAAACGTACATTTCATTAAGATGAATAAGGTATAAGGCCTTGGCCAAAGTGTCGATGAATAAATTTTACTTAGCGGAAAATATTGTTCAAAAGTCATAGGACAACTTTCATATGATTGGTTGTTTAAGTCAGTTTAATTTTACATTGCTTAAAGTAATTCTCAAAAAATACAAAGAATAAATGAAAAAAAATACATGAGCCATTTGCAGTATAAACCTTTTTTAATTGCATCAATCAGGTTTTAAAAAAATTGTTATATAGTCAATTAATAATGCACGCACATCGTTAGCAAATGGGTAAATTATCCACTTCCTATAACAATATTTGAATAAAATGCTAATATCTTGAAATTTTACTAAGGTAACCCTGCTATATAAAATAGGCAAAGTGTTCCTCTCACGATTTTACATTAGGTTAACCCTAACTTTAACTTAAAAGTTAATCTTAATATATTAATATGACTATGGTTCCTTTTGTACTTAGGGGGTGAATAATTCATCTGGGTGCTCAATAAATTATTTCTTTTAAAAAAATTTTTTGAATTTTTTTTAAATTTTAAGGGGAGTGAGCAATATCAAATCTTATCCCGGGTGAGGAATAAATTTACTCCTTCAAATATTGCCAAATATATGAATATTTTCCAAAATTCTGACTATTTATATAAAACTCCCAATTTTTATTGTTAGTATTGGATACTACGTTCATCTGATTAACTAATTTACGAACTTTTATTAAAGGTGCATCACAACCCATATAATTAACAAAACAATACTATTATACACATCGGCCCACTATCTTACTAAACCAAAACAAAGCAACGGCTACTAATCTAATGGTTTGGTCCTATAATATTAAGCAATACGTAAATACAAGCATTAGTATAAGATTAACTTTTACATACAACAACTCAATCTTATTGTTGACTGTTTATAGTAGTAATAAGTAGTGCTTCTAGATAATTTTAACAGCGAATATTAATATTTATTTAGAGCTTTCGTGCTATTTTTTTTGTCAGTAGAATGTTACGTTTTCAAAAAGTACTTTAAGGTATATAAGTGAGCCAATAAGAAAAACTTCATTCTATTGGAGAAAAATTAAAATTTGCTGGTGAATTATAAATTTAATATTAAGGGTTTCAAAATTAACAAATAAGTGGCGTATTTTGAAATCATAGTTGTTTTCAAAAAGGTGGAACCAGGTGATTACTATTATTTGTAGGAAATCGCACGATTTCCCAATTTTCCTGATTCTGCGAGTAAGGGGAATCAACGCGAATCAAGGGAAAATCAGGGAAATCGTGTAGATTTCCCATGATGTAATGGTGCAATCTAGGTCACACCTAGTGATGTGCCACGTATAGTACAGTACGCAAAAAAAATTTAGAATATTCTAGAACAAATTATAAAACCATTAATATCTCAAAAGCTTCATTATGAAACCGCCTTTTGTATTCTAAGTAAAATTATTAAATTATTCCTTGCAAATTTTTGCATATAGATAGTTATATATCATACATGTACAGTACTATACATATTGCACATGCTATACACACTATACGCACTATACGTACTGTACGCTAAAAAATCTGGATATCATTTAAATGGCGCATCACTAGTCACACCTTTTTGAAAGCAGCAGAAAGTTTGAAAAAAAATCTATTTGTATTTCAAAATTTTAAAATCGGAAAATATTTGGAGACCTCATTTTAACGAAATAAATAGACATTTCAACGGGAAAATGCACACATGCTCATTTGAAAATAAATACGTCATCTATTCCCGCATGTGCGCTGTAACACACCCACCTGATCAACTAATCATATTGTAAGATCAGGTGTAACGTGAAATCGAAAGAAAATAAAAATCGCTTGTAGTTCATAATTTTGTTTATGCAAAATTTTGGTATAAGAATACCTTTTACTATTACTTAATCCTGACCTGTCTAAACTCTGGTCCTTACCCTAAATTAATGCGTTAATTGATTTGTTTTGATTTTACGTTACACTTGATCTTATGGGTGCGTTACAACGTATATGCGCAAAATGATAAAATTTCTTAATAATAAATTTTTGTGAATACTGTAATAAAAAATTTTTCCATAGCTCTATTTTTGACAGATCTCTAATTGTTTGCCTTGTTCACTCTAAATAATTTAACATACATTTCCAATCTCTTTTTTTTGTTTTTAAATAGTATCTCATACACGTTTCATATTCTTTTCATGTTTGTTTTAACATATTTTGCAGTAATTTTCAAAATTTTGACATATTCTTTGATATTCAAAGCGTTTAATTTTTTTTTTATAACCTCCTTATAGAGAACGCTCTATGGCGTATTTAAAAACGTTTAAATTTTATATAACATTATCTTCATTTCTTATAATTGTTTCAATCGATTCGTCATGATTAGACTAGTTCCTTTATCGTACTGATTATAACATGTTTATAGCATTCGTAATTACAGTATATTCTTAATTATGATAAGTGATAACTTATGCATATGTTTTCCGGTACTCTTTTTATACCGTCTTAAAATGTTAACAGTAAATGCAACAGCCTAAATACAATACCTCTTCTTTAAATAAACCTTTGACTTCTGTCTAAAATATATATTAAACCCTATAAATCCAAATTTTTTTATTCTCTAAATACAGGTTGCCAAAAATAGTTTCTACGAGATGCATTTATCGTACTATTTTTTTGCAGTGTTATCAATAATGAAAATTTCCTTGTAATTTCCAAAGAAATTTTTTGCTTACATAATTTTTTTTTATACTTTGTAAATAATAATAATTTCTAGACATTACGCCAGTTTTGAATAATAATAACTGGATGCAAAAATGTTATTAGTATATGTTTGTCAATTTTTGTTTGTGCCGAACAATTTTATTATCCATGAAAAAACGAATTTTAGACTTTGTTAGAAGTTGAATTTTAATATATGAAGATTGATATTAATTGATGTCTTAGGTTTTTTATGTCCTTTTTCTTACAGTTTTCAATTTCGCTTGTTAATATCTTGGAATGTCAAACTGTTAAATTACTGTACGTATTTTGATATTTTTTAACCTTAATACCATTTAAACTTAATTGGAAATAAAAACACCCGTTGAAGTAATTGCACGACACAATATCTATAATTTTCTTAATAATCTGCAATTATTAAGAACACAAGTGTACAAGTACTCACTTACGTATGACATTCTAATAAAATAAAGTGCTATTATGGAAAGATATTGTTCAACATTCAACATATATCTAATTAAATAAAGCTATATAAACTTTTGGCGTTACATTAAAAATATCTTTTTATTCTCATTTTTTAACCATGAATCAAACTGGTGCAGAACATTACGACAAGGGTGAGCAATACTGGTATGGTGATGGAGTTGAAAAGGACGAACATAAGGCATTCATTTATTATCAAAAATCTGCAGAGATGGGGCACGCTAGTGGAACATGTAATGTTGGATATTGTTATCGAAATGGGATTGGAGTTGAAAAGGATGAACATAAGGCATTCATTTATTATCAAAAATCTGC